GTTCGCACAGTGGGATGGCATCTATAACACAAGAATATTTATAAATTAAAATTAAAGACTGGAGAAGATATATAAAAGTAAAAAAATATGAATTAATAAAGAACTGATAACACACTCTTTATTTTCAATACTATTTCAACACAAAAAAACCTTTTAGATTTCACAACGAAAAATTATTATATAAATGTTACATTTTCAAAAAGTATAACAGTATTCTAAACAGCGAATATATTAGTTAGTCGACGAGAACTTAAAATTTTTTTAGTTTTAAATACTTTATAAAGAAATTACAAAAATGTAATTAACTTAATAACTTGTTTTAAGGAAAGACCCTAGGAAATCGTAAATTTCATTGCACTGTGCTTAATTTTTTTTACATTCGCTGAGAGGATGGAACGACAACAAATACGTTGAAAAAGCGCGCTCAAAGCAAGCTGCAAGTCCCAATTCCAGTCTCCAGTTCCCAATCCCAATCCCATGTCCATGTCCAGCTGCAAGACCAAGACGGCGACTGACTGTAATTATGGCCATGTCAAATATGGGCGACGTTGAGACTGTAGCAACAGCAACACCAACAGCAACATCAGGCACAGCAACAGCAGCAACGAAGGTTGCATCCGCAACATCAGCGGAGATGCAAGTGGATTTCGACTAAAAGCTGCATCTTGAAGGATGCTCTCTTGAGGGAGCAGCAAATGGCGGGCAGCACAGTTGATTGATGTGGTCTGGCTGCTGGGGAGTAGTTCATGTCCATGGTCTCTGGTCGGGGGACTGGGGGCTGAGTTCAGTTGAGGCTGCGATCTGCCCCAAGTTCGTGTCCATGTCTGATCTGCTGTGGGTAAGAGTCCAAGCCTTAATCTCAATCCAAATTGAGGTGCCATTCCCTGGCCCATATGTAACACATGTTGCTGCGGCCTTTAGTTTTCCTCTACCCTAACAATTACGATTTTATGAGGAACTATCTAAACGTAAAATAAACATATAATGACAAATAAAATAATAAAAAGCTATCTTATGAAGCAATCAAAAAAATATTACGTTTTGAGGATGAAAAATGTTTTGTTACAAAATATATTTAAAAAAAATATAATAGCTAAGTTTTGAACTTCAGAATCAAATATACATACATATATTAATTTCCCTTTATTAAGGGGCTAAAAGTCATTGTTCCAAAAAAAAATATAAGACTTTGAAATCCTTATTTGTTAAATGAATTTAGAAAGATTTTTATTATAATCTTTGTATTCAAGATTTGGTATGTATCTTATGGGGTGCTATCTACCGGGTTTCTTGCAGAACTTAAAATCCATCTCACTAACTTGTTTTTTTTTCGCCCATTATGGTTTTCTTGTGTGTTTGATTGGACATTGCCTTGATTAAATCACTTTTCAGTCACTGACAGTTAATCAAGGCGTAGGACCAAGTGAAGCTGCGAGAGAAAATGTATAAAAAAGAAGGCATTTTCAAGGTGCACCATGGGGTGTTCGGTCGTGACTCGTCCTCTCCCTTCTCCTGGGTATTCTCTGTCCCACTCTGGCCCCTGTCTCGTGGCCGTACCGCTCACTCTTACTGGTTGTCCGGACAACCGAGGAGCGTCGCCGTCGTCGTCGTCGTAGCCGCCGCCATGCAACTTCCGCCTGCTCCAATTGTTTGCGCATACAAAGAAGCGTCTGTGTGTGTGCGTGTGTGCGTGTGGGTTGTGCATAAGTGTGTGTGTACTGTGCCTGTGTGTGTATATGTAGGATATAATCCAAACAAACATATTGTTTTGTCTGCCACGGTCTGCAGTTCTACCCCCGCAGAATCTCCTCTGTCCCACTGCACCCCACATACAACAAAAAAAAAAAACCCTTCGCGATCCCGTCTGTTGTCGTCAGCAGCCCCCCTCTCCTCTCCTCGCCCCTCCCCTTCTCACGACCCCCTTGCATTTTTTTTCAACCCCCCTCACACCGCCCCTGTCTGTGTGTCGATTGTATTGGGCTGCAACAAAGCGTCGTCGTCGTCGTCGACGTTGTCTGAAGTGCATCGCAGGAGAGGTAAAAGCAGCAGCAGCAGCAACTACGGCAGCAACATCAGGAGCAACAGCAGCAACAACAACAGCAACTATTACAGCAGCAACAACAGCAACTACAACAGCCGCAGCAACAACAACAGCAGCAACACCAACCGAAGCAACAGCAAAGCTCAGCATGCAATTTTTTTGTAGTCGCTGCAATGCACTTGGGTTCTTTCGCTTTTTTTTTTGGATTTTTTGTTTTTACTTTTTTTTTGCCCTTTTAATTTGTTTTTCTCTGTCCAGACAGTGGGCAATTTTTGTGTCCAGAAAAGATCGGGGTTATGGGCTTATTGACAAGAGGCCATTGCCTTTTGCGGAATTGTGGCGTTGCATCAGTCAGCTTAGTGTCACAGCAATTCGCTACTAACTAAGCGATTTTATGGGCCTTCAATAAAAAAAATATACTATACATATCAAGGGAATGACACAAAAAAAGTGAATGGAAAAATAAAAGCTAAATTTTATTGTAATTTAAACAAAATGAACAATCATGCTTTTAAACGAAAAAATTTTAAATTGGCAAATATCAAAACCAAAGTGATGCTTTGTTTTGCTATTTTAAATTGTTTTAAATAATTTTAGTATATTTTTATTCTAACTGAAGCCAATTTCAAGAATAAATTATATTTTCTTCTTTGTAATCTTTTCAAAACGATTGAGTACTATCTTGAAATCAAGTTTATTTTTTTGTATACATCAATCACGTTTTCTCCAAATCAAATTCAATCTTTTAAAACTATCCAACTTCCCACGCCACTTACTTTCTGTCTAAAAAGTTGTTTGTGCTTAATGAGTCCAGTTCAGCAAGTCATATGGTTTTTTAAAAAGTGTTCCATTCGGTTCAACAGCATTAATTATTCCCTTTCTATGTATTACTTTCACCCGAGCTTTGCATGTCTCATTTGTCCCGGCAAATCTGTTCCTCCGCTCCTTCGTCCTCATCGTGTTCTTCTTCATTAAACTTTGCAACAAAAGCACTTTTGTGTCAGTCAGTCCAGCCAGCCGTCGACTGGGGCCACCGGAGCTATCCTGCAACTCCGGCTCCAGCTTCAGCTTCATCTCCGCTTCATTTTGAAGATGTCTGCGTCTCAGACACCGGCAACAACGTGGTGCAGCCTTTTAGTTTAAGTTGTAGTCGTCTGGCCCCGGCCTGGAATACACTGTGAAAAAAGACATGAAGGAAAGTCCAGATCAATGTCAGCTTACAGAAATATCTACTCTATAATTAAAGTCATTAAAAAAACAATAAATAATAACCACGTAAACCTTCTTGATTTGTATTAAAGCAAAAATATGATTGCGTTTATCTTTAGAAATATTTAGATTTTTAATTTACCATTTTAAGATTTAAAAATATATCACTCTTTAAAAAGATTTTATTATAGAATAGAACCCAAGAAAAATATTTAGTATTTTAAATTTTACAACTTTTATATTTCATTGTTTTCGAACTTGCAATCTTTTTTAACCGTGCAAAATCTAAACTGAAGACTGTAAACCGGCAGTCTGGGTCTCTAACTGCGGCTTAAGTAGGTTGGCTGGCTAACCACCCCGTGTTCGGCCCGCAACCACCCACCGGAGCACCGAACCACCCAATCCAAACCCCAACCACCGGGCCACCCGCAACGCCCCCTTTTTGCGCCCTCTGATGTGGCCTCTTCTCTCGCCTTCACTGCCTTCTGCTTTGTTATTCATATTATCCGGCAAATATTTGTCGTTGTCATACGAAAAATGTCTACAAAACGAATGCAAAAAAAATAAAAAACACACACGCCGGGCGAGACAAGGAAAAGGGTTGCTTTAACATCGACTACCCTACTCAGCATCAGCATCAGCATCATCCACATTCTCATCCTACTGCTCAGACGGAGACTGAGATTCAGATCCAGAGGCAGAGGCAGAGGCAGACTGCTGCTGTTCGTGCCCCTCGATCCGCACTAATGGCCGCAATTGTGGGCTTTGGCTGCCTCCTCGTCCACGGCAGCTTCATCCCGACCCAAATTGTCTGGCAACAATCGCATGGATGTGCACTGATTCACCCCTCCTGATAATATCTTAATAGATTCTTTTGCCCGGCACCAACAGCGGGTTCATTTGAATTTGAATTCAGTGCGACTTTCGAAGGATTGCGATTGCCAAGTCTGTCAGTCATTGCATCAATGTCTCTGTGGCTTTTCAAGGTGTGTTGGGTTGTTGGGCTGTTGGGTTGTTGGTTGTCCAAAGGCCTTTGGCTGACTTCTTAGCGTCCTCATTCTCGCTGTTTTTGTGTCAGGATCTTTCGTCTCCTTGTGCAATTTGTATAATGAGCATTTGCCACACAACTCCTTTGACTTTCAGCACCTTATTGTGCCCGTTGACTGGGACCATCTGGATTTTATTGTAGAAATGCAGGCACTTTTACTCTTCCCATCTTGCTTTTGGGTTATTAATTTGTGACCATTTAGCGCTTTTTTTTTGGTACTAACATTTCGACTTGTGGCAATACATAGGCAGCACACATATAAAAGACTTATGAAAAAATTAACTATAGAAGAATTAAAAGTAAATAACATTTCAGAAAAATACTATAAAGATTGGAAGTGTGTTTCTGATTTCATGTATTTTTGATAAATATTTTAAAAGTTATTATTTACTTAAAATATTTTATAACTAGAAATCACTGTGTATTTGCTGTGGACTGTGGTCATTACCACATTGCTACAAAATAATTGTTAAGCGTTTTTCCATTTGATTAATCTGTTTAAATACCTATATCCGAATACATATGTTTTTAATTTAAAAAAAGCCGCTAGTTTGTTGAAAAACTAAAGCCATTAAGAACAAATTAAAAGATAAATTTTTGGGACCAAAACAATTGAATATAATTTGTACTTAAAAAGTCCAACTTGCATATTTTTTAATATTAGAAATTAATTTTATAAAAATCATTAAACTTGTGAAAGCCATGCGGAACACACTAAAAGTATTCGGCATCCTAGCAATATTTTTCACCTGGAGATTATGTGTAAGTCCAATCAATATTCAAAGTTGTGGGCCAATCAAAAATGAATTAATAAACAGGATTCTGTCACCTACAAACTCACAAATGTGAAATGCGAAAGCTTCAACAAATCGTGGGTTACGATTAATGAGTGCCGCTTGAAGGCGATCAGTCGAAATAAAACTATTTTCAATTTCAATGCAACGTTTCATCATCCTGCTAGCCACATTTATTTAGACTATGAATTCTTTAAAAGGGAGAGTGGATATAAGCCATGGCTGTACAAGAAAAGGATAGACTGCTGTCGATTTCTAAGGAAGCCGTATGATGCGTTGAGTATATTGATATGGAATATTTATAAGGACGTTTCAAACCTCAATCACACTTGCCCCCTTACTGTAAGTACTAAAACTGAAACTAGAAAACCTTTTAATCCTTTTGGATTTTCTTCTTAAAGGGAGATATTCTTATAAGGGGAATGTATCTAACGTCACAGATTAAAACACTTCCGTATCCAACCGGCGAATATATGTTGCAAATGAGTTGGCTATTCTATCGGCAAGTTCAGTTCGTAACCAACGTTAGTTACCAATTCATTGAAAGTCCCTTTTAATGGCCCACTGAGAACCATTTTTGTCTATGCAATGCATTATTTAGATATGTTTAAGCAAAATAAAAACAAACAAAAGCGTATAAATTAATCGTTTTTATTAATTTTGGGAATTAATAGGTTATGAAATCTTAAAAGACCGGAATAATTTTGAAAAATATTAAAGTCTCCATACCAGCAGCTGAACTCAGTATTTTTCTACTTTAAAAGTTTTATTTTAGTAAATAATTCCCTAAAAGTAAAAAAGAACTGTCTTAAAAAAGTCTCAAATATAACCTTTCAGTAACCCCAAGCCGCGTAAGTTTTTAAGTTTATTTTTATAAAAAAATTAGGTTCGCAGGTCTATCTTTAACGAGACAATCATTAACTTGTTTGTCAATAGGACAATTATATTTGAATTAAAAATGCTCGTTGAATATATCAAAGTTAAATATTTATTAATCATGAAACTCAAAATCGTATAAAACGACAATTCCAATTAATTTTAAATTACATTTTGGTACCATAAATACTATAAAATGTTATGTCACATGTTATTCCGTGTATTTAATGTTTTATAACCATGCGGAACTGTATAATAGTGGTTGCTTCTCTAACATTTTTATTGACTTTAAGTATAAGTGTGAGTTTTTTTTTTTTTAATTTCCAAAATAAGGGACAGTGATTAATGTATAATTCACAGGACTCTATCACTTTCAAAATGACCGATGTTGCATGTACAAGTCATAACAGATCGTGGTTGCGGGTAAATGTGTGCCGCTTGAAGGCGATAAGTCGATACAAAGTAGTGTTCAACTTTAATGCTACCCTGTTTTACCCAACCAACGACATCCGAGTGACTTATCGGATCTTCAAGAGGGAGAGTGGCTATAAACCATGGCTTATAAATGTCGAGATCGACTGTTGCCGATTTTTGAGAAAACCCTATGACGCCATGGGTATTATGATATATAACTTCTTCAAAAACTTTACAAATGCAAATCACACTTGCCCGCTATCTGTAAGTTTTCGGCGAATCCAATAATACTATCCTATAGATTTTTTACATTTTTAAGGGTGATCTCATCGTGAAGAACATGTATCTGAGCACTGAACCATTTAAGGGACTTCCTTGGCCCTCCGGCGACTATTTATTGGCAATGGCTTGGAAGTTCTATAGGAAGCCCCAGTTCGACACAAACGTTAGCTTTCAATTTATTGAGAATCTATTATAGCCGAAAGTAAGATTTAAAAAATATTCCGCTCTAAGCTAAATTAAATGATTAATGATTAACTGATTAAGTATTTATACTTCAAAAAGTATTTATACTTTAAAAGTTATTTAATTTCAACACGCTAATTAAGAAACACCTTAATTTGTTATCTTAGCTTTTTCACAGTGTAATACTATTTGAATATTGAATTTTTCCCAAATATTAAAAAACCATTACTATAAACCAGTGGTAATGAAAAACCTGATTAAAAGCGAATTTAAAAAGAAATTACGCGGTGAATGGTAGAAACTATACATAAAGCAAATACGAAATTATGTTTGGAGTTTATAAATATTAATGTCATATGGCTTGTAAAGCATTAGTTATTTTTCTGCCAAAGATTAATATTACTTTCTCTCATCAATCATGTCCTCAGCGAAGGATATCCGTATTCGTCAAGAGTTGCTGCGAGTTGTGGTTTTGGCAGAAAAGGCGTGCAATAACCCGTCATAAGCAGGCTTTTGGTAATAGACCTGTCGCCTCGCCGGCCAACTCTAAAAGCCATCCTCAGCATATGTTAGACATTTATGTCTTGCTATTCAACACCAGCCAATGGCCCGAGTGAACCACTACCACACTGAGAAAAGTTACCTTAAGTTGGGGAACAATGAAAACTTTTCGAAAATCATCATCATCAATTTTACCAATATAAATCTGAAGAAAAATGTAACATAAAAGATGAAACCAGAGTTAAAAACATAAAACCATACAACTAGGCGTATACGCAATTGAGTAATATATTCAGGATAGCACAGAAACCAATTAAAGTCTAAGCTTAAATTGGAATATCAATTTATTTAAATCGAAAAAAAGCAATTATTTTACTAAATTCCTTAGCAGCATTTGGTTTTTGTTTTTGAGAATATGTATGAGAAAGATATTTACCATACCATTGCAAATTTATTAAAACTATACCACTTTTAAGCTTAACATCATTACATCTGCAATCTAAGTCCTAGTTTCAGATGGCAATTTTACGCTCAGTTTATGATGCACCATCTCACCCCTTAGAAAATCCCGACCGCAACTAGCAAACGTTGCGTTTGGCCCTCGGCGACTATTATTACTACATTTACGACCCTGACGTCTGCTGTGGCTGCTGCTGCTCCTCCTCCTTCTACTTGTCCGTCAGCTGAAGCTGCTCACTCCTCCCCAGCTGATGCACACATCCCCGCCAGCGGTGTCCATAAAAATGGCATTGTAATGGGACTTTGGAGGCGTCGCCATCGTTGCCACAGCAGAGTCACTGATTGACACTTTTTATGTTTCAACGGCTGCTGCCGGCAAAAGTTCAATGAGTTATGATTCGAGACCGGGGTCTTTGTATTGGCCATTGTTCCATCTTTAGCCAGTCAATGGAGGGCTTAATGAGCTGGCTGCCTTTAAGAGCGGAGAAAGGCGGTAGGAAATTCATTAGCGCGAAGGAATCTTTGGGGTGCCATTGGCAACGCGTTTGTACCTGTTGCATCCGATGATAAATCGAAGTTTGTGCACCGAGCGAATCATTTCTAAAATGTCTTATTTTTTTCCGACATACGTTATTAAAAATTTAAATAATATTCTTTTCTTATAAAATATTTGAATACATAACTAATTTTTATTGTAACCGAAATTTAGCGTTGAGCCTTGTCAATATAGCTAATTTTTAGATCGCCTGAAAATATAAATAAATTGGTATTCTTTGTTTTTTTCTTAAACCACTAAAGTTAAAATGTAGAAGATCTTTTTTGAGATCCGCTTGTAAAGTTCGATTCTGATTACCTGTCTTTGTACCCGAATTTTTTTTCCGTGTGTTAAGTCATCGATGCATCATCAATTTTGGCACATTTTGAATAAACTGGGTGAACAGTCGTGTGTTTTGCAATCAGCATCTGTATCTGTATCTGAATTTGAATCTGAACCGATGCCCGACTAGACTCATTGTCTGGCCAGCCTGTGAGGCGATGCGATTTGTGTGTGAGATGTGCCAACGCCATTTGCCTTTGCCTCCGCCTTTATTTTTTATATTTACTTTTTTTTATTTTTATAAATATATATATTTTTCGCCGCGGCAGGCTGACTGGCGGTGTCTAAAAATATCAAAAGCAGCACCATCGCATCACATCACATCGCATCGCATCACATCGGTACAACATCGGTACATTGGTACTTCGGTACATCGGTGCATGTAAGTAAGTGCAAACTTGTCTGCGATGTCTTTTGTTGTCTCGCCACAGTCTGCTTATCACAGCAAGCCAAAGAGCAGCAAAAGAGCAGAAAAGGCTGAGGAATCGGTCGGTTGTCGCTGCGCCAACGGCAACAATGACTCAAAAGTAGTCTTTTTTCATCAGCCACAACAATAGCAAGTTAATGACTAACACTCTAGCATCCCGATTAATGCACACATGTGGGCGATACCCCATATAAAGGCCCAGGAAACCAGGGTGCATCTCTTAGTTTCCCAGAAGTTGACTAAATTGATAAGCAGTGATTGGCTGCAGTGATCGCAGGCAGGGCACATATAAAGTGTTAAAGTGAAAGTTTTGCAATGATATGACAACAGAAGGTTTTAGAACGTACAACAACGAACAGCCATTAAAAGATAAATTTATAATTTAAATATATCTAGCACAAAATACAATTATTTGGTATGACGAAGAAAATTATTGAGAAAAATTAAAAAAAAACATTAAACATAACTAATATAAAATGCTTCTTTATCATGCAATTTAATTACAGAGAATTTGTAACCCTTTAAAAACAAAACATTAAAAAAATGAAATGAAAAGAACACCACCAATCAACATAATTAGAGTTTTAAGAAATGTAAGTGTAACCCATCATTCCAAAGTGTATACAAAAATGAGTAAAATTGATGTATATTATGAGTAAAAAAACTTTTCATGTACTAACAAAAAATATTATGTCTTGACCAAATAACTTAAACGCAATATCTAGAACATGTTATGTCAATGAGCTAATATTAATTTTTAAGCTTTTTTTTAACACTTGGAGTTGCACAACATTCTGTGTCACAAAGTTAATGAAAACACGAACCATTCATTGCGATTCGCGTGACAAAGTTTAATTGATCGCCCGGGGGACGTGGTAATGGTGTAAGGGGTGACTCAAGTACTTATTACGTATACGACACGTGTACCGTCTCAGCACTGGCTGACAATTAAAAATGCATGCATATGCATCTATTTCATTTATTTAATTGCCACAATTTATTTATAAATGCAGACAGACAGCTCACAGCCTTGGCACGATCACTTGATCGCATCGATATCGATCCAATCGATCCAACTGCTCGACCGATCGATCAATCGATCGCCCGGCCAGGTGGCTCAAAGCAGCCGCCAAAAAGTCAACAGAAAACAAATTGCCACCGCACACAACCTGCAGACCCAGAATTCGTCTTCTCCCCACATAAAAAGAGCGACAAAAAAAATAGTACGAGATACGTCAGCACATATTAGATTATCAACATAAACAAAAATGTTCCGTCTCGTCGTATGTGTACACAATTATACTTTTTTTTGTACATAAAATATTTTCCCCCAACTTTTGGGAATATTCATGGTTGGAAAAAAAAATAAAAAAAATATATTTCTTTGTATGCCAAAAAAAGCAAACACAGACGAGAGAAGCGACCAAGTGCCAGTTTTGGGTGAATTGTGGTTTTTTTTCGAACAACGGCTGGGTGGGTTAGAGGTGGTGCACAGGGGCGGTGGTGCACAGGGGCGGTGGTGCACAGGGGCGGTGGTGCTGGGCCGGTGTTCTGCTAGTAACCGCAGGTAGGTCGCCAGACATTGGCATACGTGAGAGACCCCGGCCAGACAATGTTAATTAGCACTTCATGATAAGTTGTCTCAATTGTTGCCGTCGTCGGTTGTCGGCTGTCGGCTGAAAAGTGCGCAGCGGGGGGTGCTGTACTTACAGGGGCGGAGCAGGAGGGGAGGCCCCCTCTACCCTCTTAGTGGACCCCGGGGACACAGCACATTCGATTGTTGAACAACAACCGGCTAGCCAGCAACAAAATAACAAATCCGCAGACATGCTAATACATTTGAAGTTTCTATTTTAAAACAAAACAACAATTTCTGTCAAACAAAAATGGTAAACGACCAGCAGATCTGGAGAATATGTGGTACCTTATATGAATTAAAATGAGAGGAAAAACAATCTTTAAAACAAATAATTGGTTTTGTTTAATTTTATTTTAACGTTATTAACCTTATAAAACTTTTTAAATTATTAAATTTGTATACCTTTTTGTTTTAAAAAAGTGTCCTTTTAAATTCTTTTTGAGGCTTAAAAATTATAAAAAAAAAGAAACCAAATCACATAAGGGTTATATAAAAAACCCAAAACTAATTTGAAAAATATGTTTAAAAAATAATAATAATAACGTTTATACATATATTGAAGATGATCTTAATTACAAAAGCTAGTTTGATAATAATAAAACTTCGTGGAACAAAAATAAATTTAAAAAATTTTTAAAATAAAAATGGTTAATCAAAATTAAGAATTCAATATACTCTGCAATCACCCAGTAATTGGGACACTAAAAAAATGTCGAATCGCGTATCATCAAAAGAATGTCACATGTGAATCATATCATTAAAAATAAAGGCAAACAAAAAATAAAATAAAAGCGAAATAAAGCTGCATAAATAAATTTAATTAACGTGCGGTTGTCGGCACCCCTCCCCCTGACCCTATCCCTCCCCCTCGGCACCACCACCCCGACCGCCCGTCTGCCACTTTAATTTCTTGGACTTTGCACGGCGGCTCAAGTCGGCAAACAGAAAAACCGCAAAAAAATCGAGTGACAATGAGCTAACCGAAATTCAGCTTAACAACAAAAAAGTGAAATAAATATTTATGAGCAAATAAAAGTGTGGCAAGTGGAGTAAGATAAAAAATGTAGACAATTTGCGAAGTAAAAGAAAAAGTAAATATCTCTTAGAGTCTCTAATCCCGAAATTTAATACCACAACAAAATATAAAAATAATACAACTTAATACAAGATTAAATTTAAATTTGAAAATTAGGTACATATTAAAAGGTAAAATCTAACCATATTGAAATATAATACACGGTTAAAATGAACAAGTTAAAAGTAGGTACATACGTACAAAATTAATCATATAAAAAAATTAGCCACGATTTAAATGACAAATAAAAATGTTGAAAGAACAAACAAAAAAATTATAGCGAGTAAGTTAAAAACAAGGAATAGAATATATTTTATAATATACTTTAAAATATTTTCTCTATTAATTAAAAAAGTTTAAAAAGCCATCCAAAATAAGATATTAGGTATTTTTTAAAAGAGTTCAAATTTGCCACTCTACAAATAGTACCGCAATTAGTGAAATTAATTTAAAAATATCAAAACTGTGAAATAAAATGTGTAAGTAACGGAGAGAAAACCTATCTAAAGTATTCCTAATTAAAAATATCAATGAAAAATCAAAATAAATTAATCTGGAAAATGGTAAAGCTGGTGAGGTAATTTTTGTAATAAATTCGCAATTTGCAAGTTAACTTTGCGCTTTCTCTCTCTCTCTCATTTCGTGTCTCTCCTCTGCTGCATTTCCTCCCCCTTTCTCCACCACCCCCTGTGTTAGCAGTAACATTAACAGCTGTGCGCGGCTCTCTCTCTCTCTCTCCCTCTCTGTTGGTATCTCCCACCCCCAAAGCCCGTTTCTTTGCCATCGTTCCGTTCGCCTCTTGCTTGCGCTTTAACAGCACTTTTTTCGCTGTTAAAAAGATGATGGTTGGGTGAGGTGGGGCGGTTAATATTTCTGCCTTTTCTCTTCTCTCATTTCGATTTAAGACGGCCTGAAACTCTCTGACGCTGCGGACGTTGTTCGTTCTCCGCAAAAAATACAACAATTAAACCAGCGATCGACAGCAACAACAACCAGATAATGTTTGTGTGTGTGTGCTTGTGTTTGTGCCTTAGTCAATTTAAAATCAAATGATTGATTCGAAACTAAACAAATAAATCGAAGGTATAGCATCAACAAGGCGGAGTTACGTCATGGCTGTCGCATTTGTTGTTGTGTTGGCATACTTTCAATACTAGTGTGTATATGCGGGAAAACAATTGTTTTGCGCCAACGATAATTATTAAAATAAAACGAAAAACGAGAAAGAAAGAGATGGCAGGCACTCGAAAGCTTGTTCCCGTTCCATTGCCAATGCGTTCCAGATATTGTTTACAGTGTGACTACAGCGGCGAAAACAGCAACGTCGCCGCTGTTGTATTTTAACATTAATGTTACGAAAACGTATCTGTGAGTACGATTATCTGACGTTGTATTTGTGAGTACGAGTTCGAGTATCTGATGGCTCGCAGTACAATTTCAAGACGTCGTCAGTACTGAACGGTTGCGGACCGGACGTCGTGCTACAAAAATATAAAATAAATAATATAAATTCGCCCAAAAATGTGCACAACAATGTGTCTAAAAGCCGAGTTAAAACAAATTTAAAATAGCGCAATTCCTAAATCAAATTTATTCGGGAAATAAAAAGCAAAGTTTTTAACTTTGCGTGCGTTTCAGAAAATACAACATTAGCCTAAAAACACCTAAAAATCAGTAGAAAACCCCAAACAAAACAACAACAAACAAGCGTTAAGCACCAACAAGAAGCAACAAAACAAAAGTGAAGCAAAATATAAATAAATACACAAAACCACAGATACAACACACACACATAGCCAGCGTTCCTGTACTCAAAAGCATTCCTAATAGCCGCAAAAAAATCATTGTAAACAAAAAATAAATAATAACAAGAATCAAAGCAGCAATAATAACACTAAACAAATTTCAAAAAAATTAACCAGAGATAAAGAAAAGCAAATTAAGTTAAAATCAAATGTACAACTGGAGAGCTGCAAAGTAATAAATAAAATAAGTGTTGCATAGATAATTTCGCCTAAAAAGTGTCACAAAAAAGTGATTAGGAAATTTATGCCCTTAAAATAGCGCAATTCCTAAATAAATTCTAATCTAAAAGATATATAGTTAAAACCAATTCGTAACAAAACAAATCCAAATTAAAGCAAGAAAAAAGTCGAAAAAGGTGAGCAAGCTTACTAAGCATACATATATTGGAAAAAAACCTTTTTTAAGCCGATTAGCCATAAAAATACAACGTAATTGAACTTTGGAGCCGCAATAAGTGTGCCCAATATTCGGTAGTCGCACTGTAGGCGCTATCTAATTATATGCTATTCATGTTCTATCTAAAATCTGCTCTCTATAAATCGCATTCCGGCGACTTCCTGTCGACACTCACACACAAACCAAAACAAGAAAAACAATAAAAAATCGTTAAAAGAGCAACAAAAATCCAGTCAAAAACTGTCCACTGTCCACAGAAATGCAATAAATTTTGAAATCAGCTCTGGTATTTTTTACTACTTCTCACCAGACGACAGATATCACGCCCCTCGCCAACGATTCCCCTTTCTACAAATAGATGTGCGAAAAAAATAATAAAGCATATATAAAACATTTGTTTTAAAGCAATTTTGAATGCTTTTAAAACCCTTTAATATTTTTTGTGGCTGTCATAAACCATCTTGTAATAAATTAGTCGAGAGGCGGGAAAATATAAATTATTATTTGGGGGTCAGGAATCTCACAAAAGGGGTATATATAATAGGTATGTCTTCATTTCATTTGTAGTTTGGGGCTAAGTCTCATATTTCTTTTTAACAAAAATTAATTGGAAAACTTGGAAAATAAATGATTTAATACTTAAATAAATTGGGATTTAATAAAGGGGATTATTGTTCTATTGCCCAAGCTTTGATGTTATAATATCGTTTATAGTGAAACATTTAGGTTAATTAAAATAATTTTTTAAAAATAATATGTATAGCTGAAGAAATATAACTATTAAATCGTTCCACGTTTACACTACTCAATCTTTATTGCGTTTTCATGTTTCTGTTCCTCACCCTTAATAATATTGCCTAAAAATTATAAGTGAATTACAGCAGAAAATCTCGAGTTTAATTAGAAATGACACCAGAAAAAAGGTAATTTTCTCGCCTGAAAACCAAAGTGCCGGGATTAGCTTCGATTAAATCTTTCAAAGTCGGTTTTAGGTTGAGAGAAAAAGCAAAGAATTTCCCAGAAGAGCTTTATCTTTTCAGCTCTATCGGAGCCACAAGGTTTTGGCTTCGGTTTGACTTTGGCTATGGCTTAGGCTACGGTTATGGCGATGAAAACAAAGGCCCGGGCCATGGAGTTTTGATAGAGGAACCAGAACAAAACCAAGTCAAAGTCGCGTGTAGGATCGTCCCCTCTCTCTCTCTCTAGGTGTCTCACCCCTTCTCTTTCGCACAGCAGTAGGCAAATCACTTCCGTTCAATGAACCCATGCGTAAGCCAGCTCTTCATCAGCTCTTTTGCTTTTGCTCTTGCTCTTGCCTTTTGCTTTTCCTTTGCCATTGCTATGCTATTGCTATTGCTATTGCCTCTTGGCTATGCCACACACACAGTCGCACACCACACACACACACACACTCGCAGCAACACACAGCGACACACATGTGGCTCAGTCTCAGTTTTTTCTCTCTGCTTTTTACATACAAATGTGGTTAAAATACTAGAAGCTACATGAAGTTAACTTTACAAAAATTGTTAGAAATTGTAGGTATTACCAAAAATTCAGTCTATAATAGATGTTGTAGGTTTCCCTAAACTAAATCACATTAAATAAAAAGTTGTATTGTTTTCATTTTAAACTAAGTAAGCATTAAATAATTAAATGTTGATAAAAGAGTCTCTTGATTTTGTCTTTATGTACATCTTTAAAAATAACATCTTTAAAGAAAATGAATTGCTTCTATTATTTCTTTGATGACTGTAAGAAATTTCCACACTCGCGCACATAAAAGTAGAAGAGTTCTCATTGCTTTGTCGTCTTTGGTTCACCTTTACAAATCCACCTGGCCTCCCACCTCGGTTTTTCCCATTCTCGCCCGCCTAGCATAGGAATGTTACGCATACGCCTCGTATGCTGTCACGGAAAATTTGACTCACTTGGCCGGCACATTCCAAACATCTTTACGACTGGCCATTAAAATGGTTATTATGTTTTTAAGTTACACCCGCCACCCTTTCGAAGAATGCGAAATATTTGCATAAAACAAAATTTTAATTAAAACTTCATGAGAGCAACTCGATTGACCAGTAAATTAATCGAAAGCTAATTAAACAGCTGACGACATGGGCACACACATATATAGGGCCAAATCAAGGTCTTTTGTTTTTGCCATATTGCCGTCTCTGTCGCGCAATATGTGTACATATATCGCTCATACGCCCCATGGCCGCTTATCAAGCGTCTGGTCTGGTTCTTCTGCCTGCTTCTGCGTCGCTTCTTTGGCTTCTGGACGGAGTGAGAAAAGGTAGAGCCAGGCAGTCGGTCTTATCAGCTGAATTCTCTTCAGTTTTATTTTTTTCCCCTATAGAAAAAGACCCAACACAGACGCACAATATAGAGATACCCATGGACTTGAGCACCTGTCCGACCGGGCGTCGACGTCAACAACACTTCCCGCGCCACCCACATGACCACCACCACGAAGTCAGCAACACCACACACTCGAAAAAATAAAACCTGGGGAGTTCTAGAAAAGTTGTTGTTCTGGGGTATTCCTAAGATCTTAGGATTACCAATAAAAAGTTTTAAAAATTAGAAGTTCTCTGAATTTAGAATTTAAGAGAAAATGTTTTTAAAAATTGACAGTGGTCTGTCAAAAAAAACGTAAAATAGTATATTTTGTGCTTATTTCAATTCAGCTTCAAGGACTTTTAAATTAATAGGTACCTAAAAAAGGCATTTAAAACTATTTTTTTTAGAAAATTGTTTACCGACTAAATTCTCAGAGAATTTTTTATATTTTCTGATTTTGAAAATGAAATAAAATCCTTTCTTTAAAGAAACCCAATTGAATGCATATTTGAAGATACTCTTGTTAAAGCTACAAATCAAAATGTTTTAAATTTATTGGAATTTTTCTGAGTGCACTACCATGGCGGCAACACCACACAACAAGCCACACCACCATAGCACCAACACAACACAGCAACCGAGCATGAGATTAGAGAACGGACGAGCGACGAACGACAACATTCCCCAAGGTCATTATTAGTGCTGCAATGGAGCAGCCCGAGGAGAGGGAAGGGGAGGGTTACGGATGGGATAGCCCCCGCTGCAGGCGGGTGGCGACTGATTGAGGGACCCTAGTTCCTTTGATAAGAAAATCGCCAGCGAGATGTCCAGCCAGATAATCACGTGTCGCGGCGACATTGACACCTGGTCATTGACTGACCCCCAAATATTTGTGAAGTATTCATAGGGTTATGTTTATAGCTTCCACTCTCTTCTTCTCTTGTCGGGAATTCCATTTAAGTGACAGATATAATATGAAAAAAAAATTCATTGATAAATCTTTTAATTTTTGAAAAAGAAATGCTCCTAAAAATGTATAAAAATTCTTTTCAATATATTTAAGTCTTACTTAATAAATTTTAAATATCCCCACAGAACTATAAAATTGTCAAGCTTCATTAAAAATGTTCTGAAATAGTGTTCATTAAAAACTTATGAACATACAAAAAGTATTGTTTTACTTAGGTCTCCTTTTTTTAATATGCTTAAGTCTTATTTGAAAAAAATAAGTTTTAAATATCCCCACTAAACTATACAAATTTCAAAAAATGTCATTCAATGCTTGACAAGATAACAAGCAACATAATAAGCGTGAAATAAGAGGATTATAATATTGATTGCATGTAAAAAATGTTATTCAAATAATCCAATTACTTGTTGGGCATACCCAATCTATAGCTCCCCCACGTCTACCCTACAAACCGAGCGAATCATTAGAGTTCATAATCAAGTTTACTCACACACACCGACTGAAAGCCTCATATATAGTCATCAGTTCATTCCAATCGGAATCGGCCAGTTGTCTGGGTCGAAGTCTGAAATTTGCTGCTTTATTTCGTTTCGTTTTTACTGTTTCTGCCGATTGTTGTCACTATTTTTTATTCTTGTTTTTTCGTTTCTTCGTCTTTTTTTGCCATTTGTCGTCTTTTCCATTGTTTTCGTTGACGACTTTTCTACAGACATTTGTATATTTGTATATATTTTGATCTGCGTTTCTTCTCTTTTTGCCCCCAGCCTTATCTGCCTTCAACTTTTTTTATATCCGCCAGACGCGAGACTTTTGCGCCTGCATACATTTTCATCCAACGCCTTCGGCTAATAAATGCTAATTCCTGTTAGTTTTTATAAAACAAAAAGGTACGACGAATATGTGAAATTTTTGGGGGCTTTCTTTTGTCTAAAGTCTATACACATTACCACCATCTTATCAGTTTTTTTTTCATTCAAAAAATAAATACAACAGACAGATTTTTTACACAAGAAACAAAAAAAAATGATTTGATATTTCCGAACCGAACAGACGAGCAGCGAAATCGCTAATCGATTGACATGCGGTCTTTGCCTGATTGTTGAAAAGTTTAGCTATAGCTCAATAGAGATTGGGGGGTTCACAAGCGCTGGAGATAGGGAAAATGAGAGGGAAAGACAACTGAAATTAGTCAACAAATACAAAAATAAATTATGCCAGTATAGGGATTGCAAAAGTGAAATTAAAACTAAGCTGCAAATAAATGTGGGCTTAAAAACTGATATTTTGAATATGTGTTAAAATATAAATATTCTCCCAAATACTTGCCTATAAAATTGTAGCCTCTCTCTTAAATTATCAAATATATTGATTATTCATATGTATAATAGGCAGAACGTGTAGGTGTGACAATGGTTTGCAAATATGAACAAAAAAATTGCTTAGCTAGATAAGCCGTTGAAATAATCAAAAAATTGTATTTCACTGATTATAAATCGAATGTATGCGCATTTTGCTAAATTACCATATTGATAAGAGTAATTCCCAAGCCAATCCTTGAAGTGTGGTGAAATTCATTAGATAAAGCATAGTGTTGTTTAGTTTTTAAGAAAATTTAATTTATAATTCGGTTAAATGTATTTACTTATGTTGTTTTTTAACCATACGGCTTGGGAATATCCCTTCTGCCATAAACATCCTTCTAGAAGACTGCACTGTGCAGAATCTATATGTTTGGGGCTGCTAAGTATCCGATTACCCGGAGCGACCCTGACTTGTGCCACGTCATGCCACTCACTCCACATATTTGTGTGTGGTCGTGGTCACTATAGGGTATATTATTTGCTGAGAAGTCAGCCAGACAACAGCGGATGCCGGTCTCAAAGGGTGTGGAGTTGAGGGGGGTGGCAGGGGCGGGGCCGGGAGGGGGCCACCTGATAAGCCCATAAAAAGGCGAGTTGGGGCCTAGAAATGAAACGGAAGCTGACTATCGCTATGTGAGGCGAATGGAACAAATCCGAGTGCTGCAAAACCCCAGACACTTGACTAATACCCCTCTCTATAGTTTCTCCCTTCACTATATTTACCACACAATAGCGCGATAGCTAAAACAAAAAAAAAATGAAAAAAAACGACTAAAACTCTTTCGCTTCTTGGAAATTTGTCTCGACAATCAGCAGACTCCCAAGACCTTAAGCAACATTCTTGGGTTTCTCACACACTAAAAAAAATCTATAAAACTGGGTTTGAAGTATATAACATATTTAATATTTCTGAAGTCTATGTGTGGCTTTACAATCTGATGATACGAATGATTAAATGCAAAATATTTACGACAAAGATTTCCATTCAAATGACTTTTAATGCTTTAGTTATACACATAAAATGATATTTATTGAATAGTTAGAACTATGGTATATTTTTTCTGTGTGCACAATAATTTTTTGGCTTGGCAACCGCCCTGTGGCCACGCCCCCGAGTTAAGCTTAGGGCCACTGGCTGCCTGTGGCCTACATTTTCGTGAGGCACGAACCCATGACTTGAAGCTCCCCAAGTGCGAATGTGTGTTGCTGTGTCTGTGTGTGCGGGGACTTCATCAATGATTTATTTGCGTTTCGCGTGTGTGTCTGTGTCCTGCTGAAACTTCCTGCTTGAATGTTTTCGGTCCCTCGCACACACACACACCCCTTCCCGCTCCCTGAAACCTCTTCCACCCCGGTTCGAAAATGTAGGTCAAATATTTATCTTCCGCCTGATATTACGTAAGATTATTTCTGTCTGGGGGCACATGAGTTTTAGTTTTTTAGCAGACAGCAATTAAGGTCCCATCATAATTTTCTGGGAAAGGAAATCCCTTCAAAGCGCCGCCACAAAAGCGCTAAAAACCCATTTACAATCGCGCAATGGCGTCATAGTTCAGTTAATACCTCCCGGCCATATATACTGTGTGAGCTTTAATGTCTGGTTCCATCGCGAATCGATATGGAATCGCAATGGAAACGCACACGTGCAGTGGAAACTCGCAACTCTGAATCAATGAGCGATTACAAATGGAACGAACAAATAAAACAATAAGAGCAAAAAAAAAAACTATATGTCTGCTGATAATGCCTGCAGACAGGCGGCAGGGGGAGGTGAGGAAATAGGGAGGATCGAGGCTTTTGCCACACCGAATAATTCCACGTGCTGGAGCGCAAGCAAAACTAACTGGCGAAATGTTAAAATCTGAATTTCAAATTAAACAACAAGAAGCGGCGTGTTCCGTTTTTTTCTCTTTTGCTCATTAAAAATCAAAATAAAATTCCGCAAAAATGTATTTTTATGTCTGGCTGTCTCATATAGGCCTCGAAAAACATTTTTTTCCTTCCTTTGTGCAGATGAATGATCTCTGAGGTGGTTCAAAGGGGGTGGGGCTGGGGGTGTGCGTATATATATATAAAAAATGTTATTTTGTTCAGCCGAAATGTCGGACACAATTTTCTGACCGCGCCAATGAGTGAGGGAGCCAGAGAGCCTGGTAAAAATAGACAGACAAATTGTCGCGTCATGCTAAAAACAACAAATAAAACAAAAAGGAAACAAAAATTCATTTAAAAATAAATTTGAAAACATTGTCAAATGCCTTTGTTGTTCTTTACTTGTGCAATGAAACTAGGAAAATACAATTAAAAAACAGAGCGACAAATAGCAATGCGCAGAGTTGTCGGCGTCTGGCATTTTAACTTTTGTGTTCTCTGTTTGTTTTCCTTTTTGGCTTACCGAGAAATTTATGGTCTTGCAACATTTGGACAGATTAACTACCCGCCTCTCCCTCTTGGGTTATAAATGAGTTGACCCTGCTCGAAGTTGGACGCGCCAACATTAATTTCAATGAAATGCAATTAGCATAGATAGATCGAAATACCAAGACGCTGGCTTGATTGACTTGATCTCTCTGCTTTTAGTAAAAAAAAACCCCTCACGCCCCCAAAAAAAGGTACAGAGAACAAAATGTAAGATAAATTGTAATAAGGCTAAAAAATGTATTAATAGTTTAAACAGGAAAAAGTTACAAAAAATAATATATTATGTAAATCCTTTTATTTCGCATTAAAATAAAAAAAATTTTGGTATTACCTAAGTAAATTTATCACAAAAAATAATATTTAAACTTGATATTACTTTTTTCCTTGTGTAAGTACACACCCCCCTCAGCTTTCATCTTTCGAGTGCTGCCGAGTTTGGGCAAAACGACTTGGATTACAATGGCAAGAGAGTGACTTCAAAGTGGCAGTGC